TGCGCGCGTGTGTGTACGTGTACGTGTACGTGTACGTGTACTTGTGTGTGTGTGTATGTGTGTGTGTGAGTGTGTGTGTGTGTGTGTGTGCTCGCACACACAATTTATATATCATAAAAATGTACAGGTTGATAAAAAAACAACTGTGCACCTTTTTTTTGTAAATATTTTCCGCCACACTAAGTTTTGCGTTTCAAATTCGTATACAACATTTGGAAGTCAAAAGGAATTTGTTTCATATTCATTTTAGATACATCCACAGAAAAGTTTTGCTCTACATAGCGCGTATAAAAAACAACCCATTTTCAGCTATGTCCCCATTTTTTTTTTAGCATGACGCACTAGTCCGCATTAGGCCTCCCACTAAAAATCCCAACGATTGCGCCATATTGCAAACTACAGTAGTCTAACAGGCCAACAGAAGTTTGCAAATAGTTTTTCTCAAGTTTCCTTTACCTGTTAAGATTAATAAAGAGCAGATAACTTTTCGTATTGAACATTCCCTCACCATCAACTCATTTCGTAAGTTTCACACAAGGTACGGAAATGCTGTTAAAGTGCCCTGAAGACCTTCTTTGATGTCAAGGCTGGAAATGGTCCATCAGTTAGGACCAGCAGAGAATCAGAACTAAAAACTCCCGGATAAAACGACCACTTCAGGTCAAGCACACACTGTTCGCACCCCTTTAAACGACTCCAGGGTGCAGAATTCGGTAGATGAGCCCCATGAGACATCTACGTAGACGATGTCTGCAGCAATGACTTTCCTAATTTCCAACGGTCCGCATTCTCAGGGCAGATTTTCATCTACGACTGTACCATTTTCCCGTTCGCGAAGCTATCAGGTGATAGCAATGTGTTCATGATTCCTCGATCGTCTTGAAACTCGTGAACATTTTCTCAATGACATTTTATTCCTTTGGCAAAGCCCATATTCACCTTTCAGGTAATATCAACTCCACAAACTTAATGCTGTCTATTTGGGCAACCTCACCCCCCCCCCCCCTCCCGTATTATCTCTAGAAACAGCCCCATTCTGTAAGATGTACATTGTGTGTGGCTTTGAGTACTCCTGGTTGAGTGGATCCTTGTGTTTGCCCACCTCTGAACTTGATGAATGACGCGTTAAAATGTGTCGAGTCCAAAGGAGGACATAATATGGACCATTGGGTCTCGGAATTCCAGAATTTACCAAATATTATTTTTACTCTGTAGGTGAAAAAGATATTGTTTAAAGGTTACAGGAATTGAAAGATTAGATTTTTAAAATGAAAAGAAGGGGAAGAACAATCCAATCATTACATGACTTTCCTTACAAGATCTTTTCAATTGGTGCATTTTTCATTTATAGTGTGTTTTTTATGAAAGCCATTTCCGTTTTTGAAAATAAGTTTCTTCTTTGTGAATTGTATGTCAAACAAATCCCTTTGGAATGAATTATATCTGTTCCAAATTACAACATTTTATTACAAATGTTGTGAGAGATATTTTTTTTTTTTTAAGTTTTACAGTTGTTGTTGGGTTGGGTTGGGTTTTTTTGGTCTGTTTTTGTTTTTTGGGGTTTTTTTTATCAGCCTGTATATAAGGCGTACATCACATATTATGCTCACGTTGACATAAATTGTGAGGCAGCTTGGTGGATTCAGGCTCTCGTCAAAATAATCAAAGTGAAGAAACTTGCATTTTTCCGCAGGTTTGTGAATTTTTATCAAATTTTTT